CTCCAGACCCTAAACCCAAAAGGATTGACAAAAGTGTCTTAGAACTGTTAATAGCAAGGTTGCAGGATACAAGGTGCGATAATCAGCTTTAGTTGTCAACTTGACACAACCTAGAATCACTTGGGAAGAGAGTCTCAGTGAGAGATTTCCTAGGTTGGGTTGGCTGTGGGCATGTCTCTGGAGGATTGTCTTAAACTGACTGATATGAGAAGCCCCAGCCCACTGTGATGGCACCATCCCTAGGGATGGTTCCTGAATTATATAAAACTGGGGAAACTGAGAAGAGCACAAGCAAGCAAACCATACACATGCATTTATTTTTCTGTGCTCTTGACTATGGCTGTCATGTGACCAGCTTCTTCAAGATCCTGCCACCTTGACTCCCCTCAGTGATGGACCGCGACCTGGAATTGTAAGCTGAACAAACCCTTCATTCCATAAATTGCTTTTTGTCAGGATAGTTTATCACAGCCACAGAAATGAAACAAGAACACAAGGTTAATATACAAAAGTTAATTGATTGCTTTCCTATATAACAGCGGTAGACAGTGGAATTTGAAATTCAAAATACATTATTTATAGTAGTGCCCCCAAAGTAAAATTTTAAGGTGTAAACCTAAAAAACGGTCAAATATGAGGCAAACTAAAAAATGCTGATGAAATAAATAGAAAAATATTCCGTGTAAATAGTAAGACAATATTGTCAATATATTTCTTCTAAGTTGACCTCTTGATTCAGTCCCCTAGCCCAAATCCCCAGATGTTATTTTATGGATATAAGCAGCTGCTATAGATGATAGAATTAATAGACCCAGAACAGTCAACTCATTTTAAGAACAACAAAGTCAGCTGTCTGACACGGTTGGACTTCAGGACTGCTCTAAAGCAGTAACCAAGAGAGTGAGGTATTCAGGGGAAAATAGATCAATGAGCCAGAAAAGAGATCTCAGAAGGAGACTCACAGAAATTCAGTCAATTGATCTTTGACAAAGGAACAAAGAAAATACGAGAGTGAAGTCAGTTTTATCAACATAGGTGCTGGAAAAGCTGAACACCCACAAGCCAAGCTTAAATCCTCCACAAAACTTAGTTCAAAATGGATCACAGAGCTAAATATAAAATGCTAAGGTATAAACTCCTAGCAGTAACATAGGAGAAAGCCTGGGTGATCTTGGATATGGCAGTGATCTTCTAGACATGGCACCAAAGGTATGATCCGTAATTGATAAGTGTGGTGAATTAAGTCAAAGTCTACTCCGCAAAAGGCTGTGCTCACAGAAAGAGTAGGCATGCCACAGGATGGGGACAATGTTGCAGAAGATACATCTAATAAAGAATTGTCATGCGAAATAGCTCTCAAAACTCAACAATGATAACAAACAACTTGCCGGTTTTTTTCTAAATGGACACGAGACTTCCCCGATGAAACTATACAGATGGCAGATTAGCATACGAAAAGATGTCCAATACCATGTGTCATCAGAAACTCACAAAGAAAACAACAGATAGCACTATTGTCCTAGTTTTATTTCTGTTGCTGTGATTAAAATAACCCTGACCAAAAACAGCTTAGGGGAGAAAGGGTTTATTTTAACTCATGATACCAGGTTACAGTTCATCACAGCAGGGAAATCAAGGCAGGAACTTCAGACAGCTAGTCACATCACATCCATAATCAAGAGGAGAGAGAGAGTGAATACATACATGTTCATCTGCTTGCTTGCTTGTACTCGGCTGTTTCTCCACCCTTACGTATATCTCCGCCTACCTGCAGTGGGCTGGGTCTTCCCACATCAATTGACTTAGACAGTTCCCCCACAGACCAACCCAATGTAGATAGCCCTTCACTGAGTCTCTCTTCCCAGGTGACTCCAGGTTGTTTCTAGTTGACAGTTAAAGCTAACCATCACAACTACATTTCTACCAAAATCCAAAGCACTGATGTCCTCAAGTTCTTGCAAGGGTGTAGACAAGCCTCTTGTTCACTGTTGGTGGGAATGAAAAATTGGCATGTCTAATTTGGAAGACAGTTTGGCAAGCTCTTACAAAACTGATGTTTTGTGTGGGTGTAGAGGTGTGTGTGCATGCGCCTATGTGTGTGCACATGAGTGGAGAACAGAAAACAACCTGGGGTATCAATCCTCAGGTGCTGTTCACCTTGTTTTTTGAGATAGGGTCTCTCTTTCTCTCTCTTTTTTCCCTGGCACTTGTCAAGTGGGCTGGACTTGCTGGCCAGAGAACACCACTATACCCAGCTTTTATGTGTGGGTTCTGGGGATTGAACGCAGGTCTTTGTTTACCAACAGCAAATTACTCTGTAAGATACTACAGTGGAGGATACACGTCATGCAACATTTGTCCAAACCCACAGAATGTATAACTCCAAATGAACCATGGAGGACACTGAATTTTGGAAGATGGTATGTCTGTGTAGGTTCAGAGATGGTAAGGACTATCCCTCTGTGTGTCAGGGAGAGTAGAGGAGGCTTGAGGTGGGAGGAAAGTGGGTATATGGGAACTCTTAATTTTGCTGCAAATCTAAAATGCTTTAAAGAAACAGCTTACCAACCAAAAAAGCAAAGTACTGGGTAGAATATACAGTCAATCCCATATGTGTTAAAAATATACAAATACTGGGCCAGCAAGATGGCTCAGCAGGTAAAGGAGCTTGCCACTAAAACTGATGACCTGAGTTCAACCCCTGGAACCCACATGATAGAAGGATAGAACAGACTCCACCAAAGCTCTCTGGCCTCCACACAAGTGCCATGACATACACATACTCACACACATGTACATACATGCACACACAAAATTAATAAATATAATTTAAAAATTTTTAAATCTACAAATGTTCTACATGTATTATTTATTTATTTTCATTTTTATGTGTATGAGTGTTTTGCCTGCATGTAAGTGCACCCATGTCATGTAATGCCCGTCCACAGAGGCCAGATGACGGCATCAGACCCCTGGAACTGGAATTACAGGTGGGTGCTGGGAACTGAACCTGGGTCCTCTGCATTAGCAGCCAGTGCTGTTAATTGCTGAGCCATCTCTCCAGTCCCTCTATATGTATTTTTATGAACACATGTAATTTTAGATTGGGTTCCACATGTAAGAGAACACATGCCATATCTGTTTTTCTGAGTCTGGCTTATTTTGCTTCACATAATGATTTCCAGTTGTGTGTATCTTCTGCAAATGTCATATTTTCACTTTTCTTTATGGCTGCATAAAATTTCCATGTGGGGCCAGGGAAATGGCTCAGCTGTTCAAATGCTTGCTGTACAGTACGAGAAGTAAAGTATGGGTCCCCAGAGTCCACATAAATACCAAGTGGATCTGGCAACCTGTCTGTAATCCCAGCCTTGGAAGGCAGAGATGGGATTCCCAGAACAAGTTGACTAGGGAGACCAGCTACATTGGCAAGCTCTGGGTTTGACTGAGAGACCCTGCCTCAAAGAACAAGAAAGATAGGCCTAGAAAGATGACTCAGCAGTTAAGAGCACTGGTTGTTCTTGCTGAAAATCCAGGTTTGAATCCCAGCATCCACATGGCAGCTAACAACCACCCATAACTCCAGTTCCAGGGGATCCATCACCCTCTTCTGTCCTCTGTGGGTATTGCACAACATGAACACACATGCAGACAAAACACTCATACACCTAAAATAAAAATAAATACCCCCCCCCAAAATATGTAAAAATATGTAAAAGAGAGATCAAGGAAGATTTCCCAATATCAACCTTGAACTGCCACATGCACACACACACACATACACATGCACACAAGCACACACATGACACATACATACACATGAAGAAAAAAATTAAATTTCACTGTGTATATATACCACATTTTCTTTTTTTAATACTTTATTTTTATATTTTGTATATGAGTGTTTTGCCTGCATGTATGTAAATGCACCACATGTGTACAGTGCCCAAGGAAGCCAGAAGGGGGCATCGGATCCCCTGGAACTGGAGTTACCAGTGGTGTTAGCTGCCATGTGGGTGCTAGGAATTAAACCAGGGTCCTCTGCAAGAGCAGCCAGTGCTCTTAACCACTGAACCAACCCTCCAGCCCCATGTGCCACATTTTCTTTATCCATTCATCTGTTGATAGACATCTATGTATATATGTTTGCATAATAAACACTGCCATATATATTTATTTTGTCTGACTGAACTGATAACCATGTTATAATCAGCTATCATGCCGATGTTATATATGTATTTATGTGAATATGCATATAATAAACACTTTGTGTGTATGCAGTTCTTTTGACAGCACACTTATTCCTTTATCCAAACAAGGAAAAAGGACCTGCTGCTAGGCAGGTCGTTCAAGGAGACATCAGAAGGTCTTGTCATCTGGCAATTTTAAAATACAAACAGGAGTGTTTGGTACCACATTGAGTCATCCAATAAGTATTTTTTGAATACTTTTTCTGTGCCCAGCATTCTGCCAGTCCATGGTTAAATGAGAAATTGCCCCTGGGATCAGTTCTGGGTGTAGGTGGGCAGGTGGTGGGGGTGGGTGGGTTTTCTTTAAAGTTTGTTTTCTCACAGGCTGAAAAGTTCTGTACTATTTGTGTATCAGTAACTTAATGTGTTCCTGGGACAAAGTACCTGACAGAAGCAGCTTAAGGAAGGAAGGGTTTATTTTGGCCCACAGTTTGAGGGTACAGTCCATCATGGTGGGGAAGGCATGGTGGCAGGATCTTGAGGCTCCCACATCCACAACCAGGAAGCAGAGAAAGATGGATATTGGTGCTCAGCTCCCTTTCTCCTTTTTATTCAGTCCTGGACCTCAGCCCATGGAATGGTGCCACTTACATTATGGGTGGGTCTTCCTACCTCAGTTAACCTAATCTAGAAAATCCTCACAGACATGCCCAGAGGTTCATTTCCATGGTGATTCTACATCCTGTCAGGTTGACAATCAAGGTTAATCATCACAGTTTGGAAAAGCTGACTGTTACTCCTTTTCCTCAGAGAGGCCATGTGGAGACCCACCTTCGTTCCCACACACCATCCTCCAGGGTCGCACTGGCTTGGAGATGGGGGATGAACTACTGTACGTGTGTGCCCCAGGGCCCATCGCAGGTCATCGAGAAACTGCCTTCACTTTACTGTGTAACAGCTGTGGAGAGTGGTATGGCCTGGTACAGGCCTGCGGGAAAGGTAAGCACCCTGGGCTGGCCACTTCTACTTGCTCACGGCAGCCCATACATGGCTGCTGTTCTGACTATGTGCTGTGGTCCCTCTCCCCTGCCAACACTGAGAACAGCTCAGCCCTTCCTGCTAAGGTCTTCCCCTGGCAGTACTTCTGTTTGGGGGTGTCCTCAGAGCATTTCAAATGTATATCTATAACTGAACTGCATCTTCTTGCTGGAGGTGAAGGGTTAACAACCCCTCCCTTCTCTTCTGAGGATGGATGGAGTTGATACTGGACTAACTTTCTTGCTTATTTCCCTGGAAAAATGCTCAAGACAGAACATCAGCAGTGGTTACCGAGGCAACACGACTTCTGATAAATGACCCCAGGGTCAGGAGGATTGTGAACAAATACATAAAAGGAAGCCATCCTTGGGCTCCTCTGTGTGTGTAGTGATCCTTGTGTCTGGGTATGACCCTTGTGGAGACTCCAAGAGCTATGTTGTGGGTTCCCACTGACATAGTAACATTTGTGTATTTATGTGTGCATGTGCATATATGTGGGGGTACACATGTGTGTGCAGGCATATGTTCATGTGTGTGCATGTGGAGGTCAGAGGAAAATCTCTGGTGTCATCCCTCAGGCACCTTCTGCCTTTTGTTTGAGACAAGATCCCTCTTTGGCCAGGAACTTCCCCAACTTCACTGGACTATCTGGTCTACCAGCCTATTGGGATCTGCTAGACTCCACGTCCTACCTCATCGCTGGGATTAGAAGCAAAAACCCAGGTTTTTATGTTGGGTCTGAACTCATATCCTCATGCTTGTGAGGCAGGCATTTTACTGACAGAGCCAATTCCACAGCCCCCATAGTGACTGTGTAGGACTTCTAAACAGCATGAATCCAGACCACATGTGAGTCCTGCTTCCTTGTACTGAGCAGGCATGATGGTGGAGAGGGAGGCAGGCAGTATGGCTTACTTTGAGAGCTGTTCCACTGGTGAGAACGGCCTGCCCTGCCCTGCCCTGCCCTGGCACCTTGCTTGCTCCCTGGCTGGGACTTTCAGAACACCTGTGTGTCCTGTGCACTCATGTGAGTCTCAATATTCAGTTGAGACTTAAAAGAGCCCTGGTAGACTCTGAGTGACTACAACCTGATCTGATTCCTCAGAAATTCCTATTGTATCCCACACACAGCCACGGGGGTGGGGGGGGTCTGAGGTTTCTGCACCCTTTCTTCCAACCAGACTCTTGGCAATTTCCCCAGCAACAAAAACAGTCTCTGCTTATAGCCAGGCCTGGACCTCATACTAGTGGCACTACAACACCCCTTAGGATACCTTAGGTAGCCCCACCACACACCTATGCTTGAGACCCCCTACACCTTTGCCCTCATGCCAGACCTTGAGTTGTTCCCTAATTATACAGAGCTCTTCTCAGTCCAAGACAGCTCCAGGGACCCATTCCTGACCTTTCGTGACACCTGGGAACTAATTGGAAGCTGGCTTTACAAGGCAGCAATGATTGCAGTGTTACAGTGCTGTGACATTATCTATGTAATATTTATTTATTTTTATTTACATTTATATATTGTTTTTCCATTTTTCGTGTGTGTATAAGTGTGTAGACACACATGTGTGGCTACATGTGCATGTGTTTACACATGCATGTGGAGGTCTGAGTTGATGTCAGGAATCATCCTCCATGGCTCTTCCACCCATTCACTGAGGCAGGGTCTCTCAGTCAAACCCAGAGCTCACTGATATGTCTAGTTTGATAGCCAGCTTGTTCTGTCTCTGCTCAGTCTAGAATTGCAGGTAGGCTACCATGCTCACCCTGCATTTATGTGGGTTTCTGAGGATCTGAACTTGGATCCTCATACTTCTGTGGCAAGTGCTTTAACCACTGAGCAATCTCCCCAGGCCTATACCTAATGCTATGGCATTAGGTATAGGACAGTTGGTCTTCAAACATCTTGTAGATCATGAGGGAACCATGGCAGTTCCTGGAGCACAGCCATGTCTCAGCAATCCACTCACATCATCTTGAGCTGTGGTTTGTTGTCTGTCACCACTGCTGATTATTACCCCTAGTGTGACACAGCACTGTGTGTCCAGTCTGCAGGAAGGGACATTTGGCTGGTTTTCATTTTGTGGCTGTCAGGAACTATATATACCCTATCCGGTGTCATCCACATCATTTGGCTCTCATGTGAGCATCTAGTCACAGGTTCTTGTGAGTAGGACTCTGCCACACAGTGTGCCTGTCCGGTCCGGCGTTACTGGCTGCTGCCGAAGTGTTTCCTATGGGAAGTCTAATCAGTTGGGCCTCTGAATTAGTTATTTTTCTCATTGCTGTAACCAAGTATCAGACAAGAAACAACTTAAAGAAGAAAGGGTTGATTTAGCTCACAGGGGAAAGGGATACAGTCCATCAAGTGGGAAGGAGCAGGAAGCATCTGCAATCGGAAACAGCAGAATGCTCAGCTTGCTTTCTCCTTTCTATGCAGTCCAGTCCCCAGTACATGAACTGGTGCTACCCACATTTAGAGTGAGTTAACCTCAGTTAACCCAGTCTAGAAAACCTCTCACAGATCTGGCCTCTTTGGTGGACAATCAATATTAATCATTACACCCCTCCCACCAGGGACACCCACAGCTCCTGTTTAGTGTCCCCAGCCCTTAGGATTGCCATCTGCGACAGTTCTTTGGTGACTTTCATCATGATATTCATTTCAACAATGGTAGTAAAGTTGAGTACTCATGACATGACAATCAGGCTTTGAAATGTGAAATTCTGCCAAAATATTTTACCAGTTTTGCTAATTGCTTTGAAATGGCTATTTGCATATTATAGAAAGTTTTTTCATAGGATATTCATGATTAATGTGCTATAAATATTTTTTCCTAGCTTAGGAGTGTAGGTCAGTGGTAAAGTGCTTACATAACATGCATGAGGCCCTGGGTTTGATCTCCAGTAACACACACATTTTTATTTATTTATTTATTTATTTATTTATTTATTTATTTGTTTGTTTATTTATTTGTTCATTTATTTATTTATTTGAAACAGGCCCATTATACAGCCCTGCCTGGTCTAGAACGTGCTATGTAGACCAGGCTAGCCTCAAACTCACAGAGATCCACCTGCCTCTGCCTCCTTTGTGCTGGGATTAAAAGCATGTGTCACCATACCTGGCTACACATACACAAATTAAACTGTTTTTTTTTTCATTTTCTGTTTCCTCTTATTATTACTATTAGTAGTAGCAGTAGTGTTCATGTACATGATATGTGTTTAGGTGGGCATGTGCCATGGAGTGTATGTGGAGGCTAGAGGAAAACTTGCAGGGGTTAGTTTTCTCCTTTGACCGTGTGGATCCTGGGGGTGGAATTCAGGTTGTCAGGCTTGTGCAGCAAGACCCTTTATCCACTGAGCCATCTCACCTGCCATGATTCTTTCTTTGAGATACAGTCTCATGTAGTACATGCTGGCCTCAAGCATGCTAGGTAGCTGAGGTTGATCCTGAACTCAGAATCCTCTTGCCCTCACCTCCCCCTGGCTATGAATATGTATGTGGGTTTGTGCCACCACACTGGGTTTATGCAGTGCTGGAGATGGAACCCAGGCCTTCATGAATGCTAAGAGAGCTCTCTATGACTGAGCTAAATCCCCAGTCCACAAACTGAATTGTTTGTTAAAAAAAAATACATTCTTTCCCAGACTGGGTCTTAATCCTGTCATTCTTGCAGTATCTTTTAATGGATGGTTTTGGTTCTTTTATCCATTTTATGATTCAGACCAGAATGGGTGCATTTAGAGTGGTTTGGTCATAGGCCATTTTACTACTTTTCAAACTCTATGGACTATTACAAATCTTTTGGTCCTCACTGGCAGACTGATATGCTAGTAAGATGCAGCTAAGTGAATTACTATAAAAAATAACATAGATTCCAAATAGAAATAGTTTTTGGTGAAAGAGATATAAAATCCCCTATCAGGTTGTTATAGAATCTTCCATAACCTTTGTCTGCACTTGCCTCATTACATACCAGTAACAAAAGAAACAGGCACAGACAGATGCTGGAGGGCCGTAAGCAGTAGTCTAATACCCACCTTCAGACCCTTTCCATGTTCAAGAGGCACTGAAGTCACACCTTCCTGTATGTTACACCCATTCACCAAATGAATCTGTTTACTGGCCCCAGTAGGATGAGAACTAAATGCAGGTTTTGTGTGTTCCAAAAGGTGTTTATTTTCTCACTGCAGTGCAGAGTCAGAATTTTCAGCCACTGGGCAGGGATTCTGGCTTCTTCACTTGGCTAGGTGAACAGACCTTTAGAGTTTCCCTTATTCTGAAGATTTTACATTTAGAATGTCTGTGTCCTAGTGAGAAATTGTGTGTGTAGAACATCTTCACCAACATGGACATGGAGGTATACGCCTGTAATACCAGCACTTGGAAGATGAAGACAAAGATCAGGAGTTGAAACTCATCCTTGACTACATGGGAAGTTCAAGACCAGTTGGGCTACATGAGACTATGTCTCAAAATGAAATAGAGAGAGCTGGGAGGTAGCTCATTTGGTAAAGTGCTTTCCCAGCATTTGTGAGGCCATGGATTAGCTCCCCAGCACCACATAAACTGGGAGTGGTGGTGCACACCTGTAATCCCAGCACTCAGGAAGTGAAGACAGGAGGATCGGAGTTCCTCAGTTGCATAGTGAATTCTAGGCTAGACTAGGAAACATGAGATTTTGTATGTATGGGGGGGTGTTGTTTTGTTTTGTTGAAAGGAAGAAAGGAAAGGAAGGAGGGGAAAGGAAGGGAAGGGG